GAGAAGGGAGGGGCCAGCAGGGCAGGGCAGGGCGATGCGGGACTGGGAGGGGCGTGGAGAAGGGTCTGGAAGATGAGGGGAGGGGCGTGGAGAAGGGCCTGGAAGATGAGGGGAGGGGCGTGGAGAAGGGCCTGGAAGATGAGGGAAGAGGCCTGGCGTGACGGGGAAGGGAGGGGTGACGTCGTGAGACAGGCAACGCAAGCTCCTCGATTTCAAAGGCGACCTTCTCGTCACCAAGATATAGAGGTACTAGAGCCCGTCACCACGCCTCAACACACACATGGGGCCGGCGCCCCCTCACTCCGTCATCGTGTCAACATGCACATAGGTGGGGGAAGTGCTAATGGGTATAGAGCACGTCAGCGCGTCCTCAAGCACCAAACACGTGGATGAAGGGATGCTAAGGGGGCAGGAACCTGTCCCCCAGTCGCCATGTCAGAAGGCGGTACGGGAAATACCTGGTGGCTTTTTAACATTACATTACAATTTTTTGTAAAGGTAGGAATAAGCCTGTCTGTTGTAAATTTGAGGTTGAAGGAAAGGAGCCCCAAGACAATTGCGCTATGTTACTAGAACTACAACTATGTTACAAAGTCGCATTCGAGTAATTGTAACAGAGATGTAATAGAACTAAATTGAGAAGAGTCTGTCTATAAATCATCTTGGGACCCCTTTCCTGCAACCTCAATACAAATTTTATTTGAAGTAAACCCACGCTTATATTTTTTTAATGTTGCAATCTGTAAATTTGGTGTATTATCTTGAACGTGTTTAACTATTGTTACTACTTTGTTAATCAAATTCAAACTTTACGAAACTGAGTAATTAGAACATAAGTGCTCTAATATTCTATTAACAACGGAAATCCGATACACATTACATATTACAGGTATTCTAATAATCCATGGCTTCCTACTACAACCACCAATATTAGTCTGTTGCCATTTGCGAGATGAACAGTCAAATTTAGTCGAAAATGATAGAACTTTGGAATGTTTACAAAGAGGATGTAAGGTTGAGCGATATTCATACCGTATCCTCTTAATACACACCCGATTGGTTACTCTCCTATGTCGTATTGCAAAAAGTTGACTTACGATACAGTTTCGTAAATAATTATAATTATATAGCGATTTAGTAATTTGATTGTTATTTCGTCTGCAAAAGTGGCCTTGCGTAGACACGCGTGCGTCGAGGTAAGGCAGCAGCGCGGAGGGCGGAGCGGGGTCGTGAGGAAGGTTGACCCCGCGTGTGCCGCCCACAGTCCGGTTGGCCCACGCCCTCGGGTTACTCCGCCGCCCGTCCAGGTAGGTCGGCGCCCGCCCGCCTCTGCGCGTCGCTTCCTCGGCGACAATGTTTCTCAGACTGAGCTGGATCAGGGTTTCAACCAACGTCATCGCAGTGAATCTGAGCTTCTAGTTTCGAGTCCCGACGGTGGCTGGATTTACGACACTGACTAGGCAGCGAGGTTAAATTCAGCCGCTGCCTGGAGGAAGGAGAATTCTAGCGGCCGGCTGCTCTGATCGGTAGTGTTTCGTGGTTTCTCCAATCAACACCAGGCGAATGCCGAAGCAGTACCCAAACAAACGGGTCACGGCGCGTTATTTTTCTTTCCTCTTCCTCGTCCTATTCTCAACCCCTTAATTACACACACTTACAGTCTTACAAGCAATACACTACCACACATGACAGGAGACCAGTCAATCTATCAATCAATCAATCGATCAATTTTTCATGTCTCCCCCAGCAGCTGCGTTCACAACGAACAGCCATCGGTGTGGCGAACTATTGTCCATCGCTGGAATATTCATTCCGTTCTACCTACAATATTCATTCAATATCTCAAAACCCTAGTCCAGATGCAACGTTATCCAACTAGTTAAAGTATTGAGACGAAATATTTTTTTTAGAATTTTCGTAGTTCTATAACGGCATTTACAAATTTACTAAATTGGACTGACGTACAGAGCAATTAAAATTGTAATTAATAATTATTTATTGGTGACACGATGTTTAAAAAGGATTCGGTATTAAAAAATGCAACGAAAACATCGTAAAATTCTTAACATACATACCACTAATGCAGTATAAAAATATGAACACGTAATAAAACGGTGCAAACTAACCGCAAATGCATTCTCAAAAGATTTCTTCACCTTGCTGTATGTTCTATAGCCGGCCACTTATGATGAAAGGAAAAGTCCGACACCCTATTGTTTGGAGGTGTACTAAAAAGGCGAGGCGTAGATGAAAATAAAGATGCAGTATCCGAGAAGAACCTTTGTGTTATATGATCCATACAAAGAAGACACAATTACTTTAGAATACGCGCAGATACTTCTCGAATGCACCATGACGTAAAGCACTCGTTACGGACGTGGTTGCAACGTTAATATTTTTTATCTGCCTGTACGTATTAAGCAGAATGCGAGAAGGAAACATTATTTTATGTACATATGTTTATTGACAGTTTTATCTCCAAATACAAATCAATGGCATTTGAAATGCTCAGCATTTGTGATACACAAGTACTTATTTATAAAACATGTGCAGTGTTAGCTGTATTGTGCAAATGGCAAAAGAAATAATAAGAGTGGCAGACGTCAATGTATTCGTAGGAAAAACCTCGATGTCGCTCAATGTGTTTTTCATTATCAACAACAATATATAATACCCTATGTCTCATTTGGTGAATTTTCTTCCTTTCCCAAAATTATTATCTTTAACAACTACTGTTTCCATTTCTTGTCACTCTTGTTTGGATATGTAGTTGGTTCTTCATGATCACACTAGTCAAACGTAGCATACGCTGAGACACATCAAAATCTTTGGCCCTTAAATTATCAATCATATAATTAATAGTGGCTGTAAACAGATTAAAAGAAATTCAATAACATTTGTTACCTTATTACATTTTTACATTCGGAAACTTATGATCAGCAGGAATTTACTCGATAATACAGACGCCAGTAAACAACATAATTTTATATCGTTTTTCAAGTTCTGAGTCGAAGTCACGTTGCAAATCCTATTAGTCTATTTCTTTTTCTTCATGCTTCAGCATTTAATTGTTATTTCCTACAACCGCCTTTGTGCTTGCTCGCCATCAAGAACACATAATTGCAATTTGTAGTATCTTGTCTTCTTTAATTGTCCCGCGTAACATTAACCTTAACAAATAACATACATTTTCCAATCGGGCATGCCATTTGATATTAATAGCTTGTAAAACACCATTAATAAGTTATTAGACATACTGTGACGTCAGTCAAGCAATCGCATTAAAGTCAATCACATTTCTTTTTGCGACGTTTTTACTCCGGATTTTGGACGTCGTTTTGTCAATTTAAATAACCGATTAATGGAACCGGTCCCAGCGGGCGGGCGGGCGACGTACAAAACGAGCAGGAGGCTGCGCGTCTTCTGTCTCCGGCGTCGTTTGCCAGCTGCTGTCAAGCCGCGAGCCGATCCGGTGGCCGAGATCGCTAAGGCAGAAGTGCCGTAGCGATCTCGTACCGAAAGATCGCGGGTTCGAGTCCCGCCTCGGGCATGGTTGTATTGTGCTCGTCCTTTCACCCCCTATCATCATCATCATCATGTCAGGGAAGGCAACGAGAAACCACCCTGAATAATTTATCCCAAGAAAACCCGTATATGGAAGATAGGACCGAAGAGTAAGAAGTCAAGCCGCGAGGAGGAATTGCACCCAAGTAGTATTCGGTTTACCTCCTCAATACCTCTCAACTCTTCTGTTCTGTATTTCTCCCCATTACCTGCTCAATACCTCTCAACTCTTTTCTGTATTTCTCCCAGTGACCGCTTGAAAAGCCTTGTGCTTTTTTCTGAAGCGCCTGCGGTTGCATAAGAAATCGTTTATCACGACGAATTCTATAGAATATTATAAGTATCATAAGTTTTGTTAGTTTTAAGTGATTCTTTTTTATTTTTAAAATTATTACATTCTAAAACATCTAAAATACAAATATAAAATGCATGTCACATTCTTTGATTCGTATCGTTGATTTTCTTTTCTTCGGCGAGAAGTGAATAACGTGTTGAAAGATGCTGAGAATTCTAAAAGAACTGAACAATTTTATTTTTATGTGAAAGCGACTACAGTTTGCAGGTTTAACACACGGATGGGATGCAAACCCGATAGGGTGTGATGTGTGGTCAGTCTTAAAGATCGGAGTCGTTTCCTTGGTGTTGAAGCGTATGTTCCTGTTCTAGAAATTAGAGACAATGACATGAATTATTACTATTGTGAATCATTACTGACCATGTTTTTTTTATACTTGTTTACAGTCTACTTTCCACGAAAACACGTAATCTGCATATCCATAACCTTTAGAAGGAATTCGTCCATGGTTGTTTCATACTTTTTAAAACAAAATTTACCATTAAAATGACTAATTTCGAAAAAAAGTGCAAGATTGCTTAGATTGAGGAAGAATCTGAATCTGAAGAATGCTAGAGTTTTCCTAGAACATCCAATTGTCTGTTTCA